GGCGCCGCCTCCCCCGCTGCCGGGGCTTGCACGTAGCCTAGGCCGGTCCCGGGCTCCTCTTTGTGAAACGCTGCTGCTACGGGGCAGAGCCAGAACCCCGAGGTACCGGTTTCCCTATCGGAAAGGCCCCCGGGAGGCTCCGGCGTGTGTAACCGCTGGGCGGTCGGGGTTGCCTTAACGCCTCTGACCTTCTCGGGGGTTGTTGGAGCACCCCGCCGGGCACCGTGTGGCAGCCCCTGCTTGCTTTCCACAGATGTAACTTGCTTTTGCTCGCTTTCTTGGGGTTTTTGTTGTTGTTTTGTAAGCAGGCCTGCGTCCCGGGGCTTGGGGGTTTGTGGGATTTGACGCGTATCGCAGAGATGCGCTACTGAGGCTGCTTTGCCTGGACGTCCCCGTTTGCTTTCCGTAACCCTTACTGTGTCCAAGAGCGTCATAGGTATCTGCAGAATGCAGTTATGCTTACGGGGTAACTCTTGGAGATCGGGCTTTTCGTGCCACGCTCCCTTGCCTAGTTAACAGACACAAAGCTCCATTAAAAGACCCCTGCAACACTTCATTATCTGGTCAGATTTACTCGTTCCCTGTGAATGGTATGGTGAAACTTCATGAGTGGCTTGGACTTAACCACTGTTTTCCCAGCTGGCACTGCCTGCCAGGGTTCTTTTGTTAAAGCACAAAATTACGCTAATCATTTGCGCAACAAATATTTAGTAATAGTTTCACCATTACTGCTCGAGTAGTAGGAGCTGTTCTATATAAGGTTTTTTGCTAATTGTAGAAGGCTAGTAGTCTGTTCTCGTAATGCTTTTCTTCCGTCTTTCCCTCTTCAATGGGCGTAGCTGACTGTTAAGGTTTTATGTGGTTATTTGAGAAAGTTTTAAAACAAAACAAAAAAAGATAAAAGTATGTAGTAGTTAGTCTTGCAGGTGCATGGCATTAACAGTTCTTGTCCAGAATACACTAAAATGTGCTTTCAGTCCACATGCTGGCATGTATCAGGTGACTTCCTTCTGTGTTTTTGGTATCATCTAATTCAGTTTTTCATTAGCTTTTAGCCGAAAGGCTGATTTTTCCAATCCTTGCTTGCTTTTCAGTTCACGAGTATAATAGTTGGTAAGGTATAAAAACTTAAATACTGGAATTTGGGAGTGATGACATTTTTTGTTAATGAATGTTGGTTTTGTTCAAGTAAACCTTCTACTGTCTTTGGCAGGTGAGCAAATCACGGTAGTTTTCTAAACTTTATTTACACATCTAAATTTATTAAACTTATGATTTACTAGAACAAACTTATAAACTAAAAAGGAGGAAACAAAACCTTGAAATCAAACCATCAGCATTTCACTTTTGGTTGAGAGGGCTTTTGTGAGCCCTTGAACAGGCAATGCGTTTGTCAGTTACAATCTCTGGGCCTTGACCATGTGAATATATGGTATTTTCTTCCTATGTAACAGGAACATCTCTCTTCTGAGCACAGCAAATGCTTCCTCCACACGAACTCTGGCTTGTGCTAGGTGATCCGAGAGGTTATTGCTCCCCTGGCTACCTGAGCTTTAAGTTGCAATTAGTGGCTTGATCCGGACTGCTTGGCTAAGCCGCGCTCAATGCAGTAACAGAGCGTACACTTGCACAATATCCTGCTGGTTCTCAGGTGCTTAAAGGAGTTGTTCTGTTCCCTTCCATGCACCAGCCTTGGCACTTGTCCGACTGCACGGAGAGCCAGCTCGATTTATTAACTGGATCACTGGGCGTGTGAGTTGAACTAGCTTGTTGTACTGTGAGGTGAGTGCCAGAGCCAGCACCAGGGATGGAGCCCTGAAGTGAAGAGTGGGGGAACGACACCGCTGCTTTCACGGCCAGCGGGCTGTCATCCTGCTTCAACTGTATTACCTGCTGCACCCTAAAAAGCCAGTATGTGCCTGCTTCTGTGGATGGCAATCTCTGACAGAGGAGAGGGCAGGGCTGCTGGAAGCTGCAGTTGCCAAGCGTGATTCAGTATTGGCTGCCTGAAGGCCCTCTTAGTCTCCTCCTGGAGCTGGCCTCAGGTGCTGGAAAGTTACATATGCAGCATGTGACTCTTTCCTAAGCCCTCTGTGCCCTATGTGAACATAATCTGCATGGCATGCATGTGGGGTTAGCGAGGGGATGCTGAGCCTTTAGCTGTGAAAATATCTAATATATCTGTTCAAATAAAGATTGGTCTGCAAGGAGATTACTGTATGTGCGCTGGTCACCAGCTTTGTATTCAGCTGAGCATAACTCACATGTTTGCATATATGTATGCTTATACCATTTGTAGTAAGAACAGGCTGTTGCAGAGATGGTGGTTCAGGCATGTTTGAAGTGCTGGGTGGTTTCTTCCCTGTATCTATTGAAACACCTTATTTTCAGGTTGTTATAGTTCAACTGCTGAAACCTGCCTTGTGCTGGAATATGGCAAGCTGTAAAACCCGAACAGCTCCCCTACTTGCCTCTTCACCTAAAAGCACACTTGGATCTGTGAAACTAAATAGTTATTGGTACTTCATGTGATTTATCTGAACTTGAGCTGAGGATACGCTTCCCTGACACAAATCCTTCCTTACTGAAGCTGGTCTAAGAGACTTCGGCACTCTCTTGGACTCTGTGGCAGTCCAAGTTTCTCTAAGTTGGCTCTTCCAGAAATGATCCTGCTTTCAGCTGATGGACAGCATTAGGCTGGTTCAGGTCACTAAGGTGGCAGAGAAGCTTGGGATTACATACTGGAAAAGCAGTGGTTTAAACTGGTTTGAACTGTAGTGGTAGTTCACCCTTGGATTATTTTCATTGTTGCTTTCCATTACCTAAGGATGGGGTGCTGCCAAGAGGGCGGTCTTGATCCTTCCTCCCACCCTTGGGCTAGCCTTCCCTCAATCATGCCTGCACCAGTACTAATGATCTCCATGAAAATGTGTTGCTTTTCTGGAGGAAGTGTGGCAGGAGTGAGAGCGGTTGCTTGAGTCAGGTCTTTGATGTGTCCCATCATTCATTAGTGCTAATGCTGGCAAGAGGGCGGCTGGAGTTGGGGAAACGGGGTGGGAGTGCGCTAGGTACCCCGTTCAGTAGCACTTTGCACTGATTCTGGTTTCACAGTCACCTTAAAGTGGGCTAGCTCAGCTGTCAAGCTGTAAACCTGATCTGTGGAGTGTGGTTTTACAAAGCAAACAGTGGTTCAAAGCTGAAGCTGCAGCTTCTGAAGCGCAGTGGGAAGTGTTAACCTGCAGGGAGGGGGAAGGAGGTCCCTTGGGGTGTCTGTACTGCCGGAGGATTCATCACAAAAGCGCATCCCGAGTGCAGCAAGCGTAGACCAGGCTAACTTGCTTTAACACTACTGAAATAGTATCAGTTAAGTGCTCTACTAAGCTAGGAGTTGGTTAGCCTGTTCAGGAGGTGTTCAGTTTGTAATCTGGTTGAGCCTCGTGCACGCAGGCATTTAAAGCAGCTTGTCCAATACATGAAATGCAGCATACCGAGCAACTAAGCTTGATTGTATTCATATTTTTACCTGAAGTTGGATAGATCCTTGAAGGTACTATCAGTGCTTGTATGGATGTGCAATTGGGTCCTTGAAGAAAATATTTCTGTGAGAAAATAGTTGGTGTAAATATTACTGTGGAATGCTTATTGGCAGCAGGTTTATTATGCAGAGCCCTTGGTTCTCAAGTCATGTTTAGCATTACAATATCTTACAAAATAGGATTTGTTTTTGTTATCTGCAGTGGCTCCTTTGAGTGGCGTTGTCCTTAAGCGTGCCTTAGTGTTGGGACTCAGTTTTTCATTGCAACTATTGTGGGTTAAAAGATTTTTAGGACAGACCACTTTTGAGTGCTCAAAGGCCAAGGAGTTTTTAAGAAGAGTACTGCTAAA